GTGCACTCTTCAGACCTGGTTTGCTATGCTGGAAACACCCCACGGAGCGCGGGCGGGACCCAGGACTGCCCGACGGAGTTCTACCGAGAGCGAAGAGAGGCCGCGCCGCCTCAGGGCAGCGTTTGCAAAGTGCCCTGCACGCCCACAGCCCTTTGCTGGCAGCTCTCCCTTCGTCTGCCCCGTGCTTGGGGCCGACAGCGCTGTGCAACGTGGCGGGCTGAACGCTCCCGCAGAGCGCGAGACCAACCGCTGCTCTCCGTCCTGCCCAGTCCTGCCTGCCACCTCCGTACAACAGCAGAAGAGGTTTCCGCAGCTCTTCCCTGGCTCCCGCCTGCGGAGCGCACAAACGCCCCCGTCCATCGGGAAGCCGGTGGGAGCGACGGCCGGAACGCTGCTCACGAGGAGCCCTGCCGGGATCGGCGCAGAATCAGAACGGGCCCACAATCGGAATCGGCCCGTCAGGTGTGCGAGCCTCTCAAAGCTGTTCCAAACCCACCTGCGAGTGACAGACCCGTGTCTTCTTTCCCAAGCGGAAGACGGGATGCTAATCCCACCTTCCCAGAGCACAGCGGCGTGCATAAACCCGTCGGGTTTGTTTCAGCGCGAACACAAATAAGGCACCTCGCAGAACGACGGAGCGAAGAGAATGTGCTTGGGGGACGAGTGGGGACGCGGAGGGATGTCAGCTTCTCTCTTTTCCTTGGGTAAAGCACGTTGAGCTGCTTCCTGCCGTTATTTGCATGATTCCTTATCAAGAAATATCGTGCCACCCTATCGATGAACATGCCTTGAAATGCTGTCAGCGAACGTCCCTGACCCGGCAACCCTGCCGCGGGGCACGCTGCTCGAGTCAGCAGGGCCGGAGGCTGCGACTCGGGCTCCAGGGGTCGAGCACAGTGCAAATCCTCTCTAAGAATACCTGAGGCTTCCAGAAAATGCAGTCTAAACAAAAAAAAAAAAAATATTATCTGTGAACTCAAACATGACTCAATTTTATTGCTGCCTAATCTAGGAAAAACACCTTAGCTGGCCATTTTTTTTTTTTCTTGAGTGTCTGCTGTCCCTGAGGGTGAAGTTTTGCTCTCTCCCCTATTTGTTTCTGCCTGCTACTGCTGTGGGCTCCTCCGGGAGCAACCAGGTGACCTGTATCAGGACCGGGAGGCTTCTGAAAAGGGCAGCTGTGACCACCACAGCCAAACCCCTCCTTCCTTGGGTCTCAGGGGAGCCTGTGCTACGCCAGAGCGACCCGTAACGGGCGCCCACTGGGTTGCTTCTCCCCTGGACCAGTTGGGAACTGGAGGTGCTCTCCCGATACCCTCCAGACACCAGGCGTTTTGGCAGGGTTTGCCTGCAGCGCAGCGGCGAGCCCAGGCAGCCTCTGCCATCTGCACCGTAACAACCACCGGGGCGGGAGAGGACTGCCTGGCAGAGCAGGAGAGCTGGATGCGTTAGCCAGCGTTTTACAGACACGGTGACGCGGGCCCCGATTCGCCCGCAGGGTAACAGGCAGCGGGAGGTTAAAAGAGCGACCCAAGGTCGTGTGCTGAGACAGTGGAAAAAGTGGAGATAAACTGAGGTCTCCTGTTGCCTCAAGAGGTACAGGGAACAAACGGGAAGAGACAAAGAGCGAGCTACAACGGGCAAGAAAGGAAAAGTGATAGAAGCGACGCTGTTTCTGTATAAAATAAAATCAAATCTTGGCTTACACACCTCTCTGCTGCCAAGTTACTTGGTAACCTGCAAAAATCAACCTTTGACCAGTCCTTACTGCTTGATTTCTCAAGCCTGAATCACATGAAAACTTCTGAGTGTCATCTGCATATTGTATAACCCAAGGGGCAGGGGGGGGGAGAAAAGACCAAATACATTCAGAAGCCCAAGGAGGGTTCCAAACTCAGCCCACCTATTTTTTCAGGCTGAAAAGCCCCTGTGACACCTGGCTTTGATATATCGCAAACGCCCGGAGCCAGTGGCCTACATTTAAGGGGAGGGAAACTACAAGAAATACAAATGCTGGTAGGAAATGGGAGTTTTCAGACAGAAAGTAAAAAAGAAACAGAAAAAATCACACACGTTACCAGGACCGAAGTCCCCAACAGATTCTGCATCCTGTACTAAAAATTGAAGTCTTCCTGTTCCTGTAACTACGCGTTTCTTTCTTCCTTTCAAAGATTGCAACTCTGACACACATTCAGAAACTGGATTTGTTCCGGTTTCAAACATTAGAACCAAAAACATCTCCTAGAGAGTCAAAACGGAAAGTTTACTCCCGGAAAACAGTTACAGCGTACCTCCGGTCTGATCATTAGATTTTTTTGTAGACGCACTCAGATTTTCTGATTTGCAAACCAGATGACTTCATTAAAACCCCTTCCGTAGTCCGTCCACCTTTGCAGCGAGGCAGGGAAAGTCACACACGCTTCGGGTTGCCAGAGCCGCTACACAGACAGATGCAGATTTCCCAACTGCCACGGGAAATAAACAACAGCTCCACGCACCTGAGGCTTTAGGCTACTGCAGCTGTTTTCAAAAGAAGGCAGTAGATGTTGCGGAATCTGACCTTCCTCCAGGTATGGCAGAAAACGGGGTAATTCACACCCAACGCCTGCGACCGCGGCGTTGCCCAAATGGATGCTGCCCAAGCGGCGCTGGAGAACGCGACGGTTTGCAAAGTCGGGCGTCACGAACCGTAGGAACAGGGAGAAAGATGTGACTACAGACAGAGGGTCTCCAGCTGCACGGCGGCGCTGCAAGCGGGGAGGGCCCTAGAGCAGACAGCTGAGTTCACCCTCGCTTTTAAATCTGACGGTGGTACATTTTGCACATACGCAGACAGGGATTTATCCAATTCCATCATTATTTACCGCTAGAAAACATTTAATGCTATGGCATTCCAGCTGATAGAGCCGATGTCTGAACTGACAGGTAGGAAAGCATAAAGAAAAAGGTTACAGAGGCAACACCGGGGTGGGGGGGGAATTCCCAGAGTAGAAATCTTCGGGTGAGAAGCAGAGAGGGGCAGGAAACGCTCCCAAGCACGGACCTCAGCGATATTGTCGAAGCGCAGGGAAGGAGAGGGGAAGGGATCCTTCCTCAGCATGACACAATCGCACGCTAGCTGGACAAACTTGGTATTCGTCCAGGCCAGACCTGAGACTGTGCTGCCGAGCACAGCTTTACGCTGGCTTTAGCCACCAGGCTGTGTCTGTACCTGATCCTACTCCAACTTTTCACCGCAGGCAACAGAGCTGCCTCCCCGCTTTCGTGTTTGGCAGTCGGCCCCCTTAACTTCTCTTGAGTATTTAGCACGGAGGCCAGCACTGCGCGAGGTGCTGCAGACCTCAGCCGCGGTGATGTGAAGACCCCTGGGCAGCAGGACAACTGCTCCTCAGCAGAGGCATGGCTGAGGTTAGCCCTGCTGCTGCAGCAATGGCTCCAACGCGGCACAGGTGGGGAACCTCATCGTCAAAGGGCGACGCCGCCACCCTGCGAGGGAGGGATTGCTAGGAAGCCTGTCCGACGCAGGCGGTGGTGTCTGAGCCACCAGAATCAACTTCACCAAGGCTAAAACGCGAGCGCCTCGTCCCTGTGAAATCTTCACACAAGAATCTGGTTTGGTTACGCTCTCCCACTCCCTAACCTATCTCGTTATACTATAATCTTATCTCCCTACATTATAATCACTAACCCCGGGAATACTGCCAGCGTGGAATAGCAGGCTGGTTTACCATAAACCAGGGTCTTAAACTGTATGTGCCCGAAGACAGCCACAGCTACAATATACGCAACACCTCCGACACCCGGGTCACTTATTTGGAAACCGAAGTGTGGATTAACAAAGCGAATACCGAGCCCCTTAAAAACATATTTGTTCCTACACAACAACAGCAGTTTCTTGTCCGCCAGAGAGGAAAAAACAAACCCCACACTTTAGCTTTGACAACAGCTGACGTACTTGGGTGAACGTTTTATGTGAATCAGACCGGATCTGAGCCCACTAGCGAGGTTCTTTCTGCCCAACTCAGCAAGGAAGTACCAGAAACTCTACAATACCTGTCCTCACGTTTCACATTTTGTTTTGAACACAACTTTGTGGAGTCCACAGGCATTTCTGAGTGCACACGCTAGGCAGGCGCCTCCTCCGCAAGCCGCACAAATGCAATTGGGGCTGGGTAAGGCCGTGAGCGACCTGGCCCAACCCAGCTGGCCCTGCTGCAAAACTTGAGCGGGAGGTTGGACTACGGACCAGTGCGGTCCCTTCCACCCTGAATTCTCCTCCAGTCCCATGAGAACGCTCCTCACCAGAACAGCCCAGCGCCTGGCTCTGCTTCCCTCGACACGAGTCTGCACCCTGCTCCATAAACAGTCCTCTTACAGTCAGGGGGGCTCTTCCTGAAGGAGACAGTGCCTTGCCAAGTCAGACCTCGTCTGGCTTCAGCTGATTGAGCTGCAGCCTGCCCTGCAGATCGGGGCGGATTTACACCAGGGGGGAATCTGGCTCAGGATGGGAAAAGGCGGTGACGCCAGGCTGTCGCTGCGAATGCGCTGTTCCGGGGGAGGCCTGAGCTAAGCCGGCGGCAACGGCTCACGCGAGAAGACGTCGCTTCGTGTGGAAAGCAACCAGCACTACAACGCTGTTATCAGTGAGCTTAGTCCAAGAAAAGGAAGCTGCTTTTAAGAACTGTTGCAGAGTCGGTGCCCCCTAGAAACAGGCGTTAATTACCCACACGGTTTGTAAAATGAACTTAAGGCAATATACGCACGTGCTTTCACACGCAACAGCAGCGATCTAACGTTGTGTGCTGTACGGCGGATGCTGTACCCCTGATTGCAGGTATGTCCCTCTGATAAAGAAGTAATCATTTACTTCAGAGGCTGATTTCCCAGGTCTCAGCAGAAGGTATCGTCTCATGCAACAGCTTCAGTTGTTCACAGAAAACCAGACCAGAGGACAGTCTCATGCCTTTACTAAGATGGAAGATGTGAAGAAGAAACATTACCTGATTGGGCTGAATTTTCGGCACATGTGCTTTCCACATTTGAGCTTCCCTAGAGATTGCCGTCTCCAGAAGGAGAGACAACCTCTGGCTCTCCAGGGGTCCTGAAAACTTCATGGTAACCCTTGGATCCACCTGCCACCCAGCTGGATACAGCTACCTGCAAAACCAAAGACAGCCTGGTGAAAAACTGAGCCATGCCTGTCCGGTAAACTGAGCAAAAGAAAGCACAAAGGTGACAAAAGCTGCACAAAACCGGAGTAACACAGACAGCGACTGGGTACTTGGCAATCAGTAAACTGAGCAAAAGAAAGCACAAAGGTGACGAAAGCTGCACAAAACCAGCCCAGACTCATCAGTAACACAGACAGCGACTGGGTACTTGGCAATCCTACCCAAGGAACCCCAACCCGGTCGGCTCAGATTCAGATGAAGCTGGGCCAAAACCGTCGACAGGTCTCCAACACCTCCATGGGCCAGAGAGTCCTGCCACCTCGATGCCTTCTGCTTCTTGGTTTTGTAGGCGATCAGGCAAGACCTCTCCCACTTCAGCAGCACTGAAAGTTGGGCTGTTTTACAAAAAATACTTGAGAAGAGGGAGGAGGTGTCTGGCAAATATAAAAGGGGATTTCAGTGAGTTGGTTGCCCTGGCCCAAATCTCGCTGCAGTTAAAACCCGTCTACCTGTGACTTCAAGGGAAGTTAAGGCTGACATTGAAATATTTTTCAAAACTCCCAGCCTTGGGAGTCTGGCTGGTGCCAGCCTTACCCCAGTACTCTCAGCAGCAACAAGAAGTTCCGTGCAACACCGAGGAATGCTTGTGTGAGAATTTAAATGATTTCCAAGCCGAAGCCTGACAAAAAGATCAATGTTTTCCCTCTCCGCACAGTCTGGTTTGCAGCTTCTCACAGAAGCTGTGCCCCGGTTCATGTGCAATGCAAAATGAACCAGGGAGTTCAGGAAGGTTCCCCTCGGGTCGAATCACTCTGAAAATACGTTAGATCCACAAAAGTTGAGGGCACATCTCTAATTTTAGATGGGAAATGTGTTTTAAAAGAGGAGGAAAAGCAGCGGACCTAGCGAGAGCTTTTGCAAAGCATGGAACGATGACAAGACAGGTAAGCGACGGTGAAAATTTCTGCAAGGCCGAGGGTACTCAGAAACACCTGCTTCTGCTGGCAGAAGCGACAATAAAAAAGCGTGCCATCTAAAGCAAAACACCTTGCTGTAGGCAAAAACAGAAGAAAGGGGTCCCCCTGGCCCTAGTGTGGCCTCACTAGCAGGAACAGTGTCAAGAAACATGTACATTTGAAACGAAAAACAAAGCAGAAGCAAGATTTATTTTTTTTTTTTTTAAACGACGACAGACTCCACCACCTGCTTTCAGATGGAGAAGACGGCCTGATTGAAAAGGTTATTCAAAGTGTTCTAATACCGCCTACCATTCCTCTGGCCGCAAATTTCTTGGCAGTATTGAATCACTTAGGCAAAACAATTCAGCCCTGAAGGGTAAATCCCTGGGAAAGTTATTTAAACTTCCAATTGCTTCTGTGAGCTCTTGTGAAATCTGCAACAGGTGGATATTGGCCAAACGCTAGCTGGGCTATTTAATAAAGACCGGCTGGTTACTACCGCAGTTTATGCTGTATTTACAGGGAATAAGGCAACATGTTGAATCAGAAAATAAACAAAATTGACCGTGAAAACAAGCAGTTTGTTATAAATAATAACAACAGCAGCTCTGAACAAAGGAAGATTCCCAGTGCTAAGGGAAAGGGTAGAACAAATATTTTTCTTTATCAGCCTACAGGAGTTTTTAATGGGTGCGATTCACACAGAACCTGCACGAGGCATAAAACCGCACTCGAGTCCCACTTACAGCCACGCGGGTTTTAAGTGGCAAATAAACGCCCAGCCTCTCGGTCCTGAACAGAAACCCCTTTTATGCTGGATTTTTATAAAACAAATGCTTCCCCACGAACAAAGGGGAGGCTGTCCTGGCTTGGCGCACCCCTACACAAGGTTTCCAGCCCGTCAGTGTAACGACCCAAGGTGATGGGGGCCATATGGGGATTTTTTTTTCTCCGTGATTCCTGCAAGGGCTCAAAATGCTCTGCAGCATCTCTCAAAATCTCTTCCCATCCGCCCCCAAATGGCTGAGTATCACTGTGGACTGAAAAAGCCCTGTTAAAAGTTCCCCACTTGACGAGAGGGAAATTCTGCCTGGGAATAGGTGAAACCACACTCCTCTGAACAGAAAACCGTGGCTTGAACTGCAGCTTATTTATGTGCATTTACTTGGTTTTGCATGTCTTCTTTAAGCCTCGGGATGATGCTGATGACACTCATACCACTGTGAACCGGGCTGCCGGTGAAGGGGAAACAGGGATGCACATTGACAGCCTCCCTCCCCAGCTCATTCCCCCGGGGGCTTCATTAGCATCTCATTATCCTCCCATCAGAGGCTCCAGGTTTCCGTGTGGGCCGGGCTGGTTCCCAAAGGCCAGATCACCCACCATTTCCAGAGCCACCTAAAGCCCTGGGAAATGAGGACAGCAGCAATGAGGGAACCGATGGAAAAAAGCAATTCAAATTGTGGGTGCAGGGGGAGTATTTTGTCCCCTCTGGCGTGCGGGGGGAGCAGCCAGCAGACAGGGCTTGAGCTAGGGGACCCCGCACCGGGGAGCGTAGCCTTCCCGCCTTGCAACTCAACAGCCCCAGAAAAGGGGGATCCCAAGGCCCGTGCAGAGCAGAAGATGGATTTGTTCGGTTGGGTTTTTTTAATTTATTTATGATTTAACTGAGCCTGCAGATCGTCAGTCCCCCTGCAAGGGACATTTTTAGTGAGCAGTGACAGCAACTCTTCTTGAGCTGCCAAGGGGAAAAGAGAGGGGAAAAAAAACAACCTTTCCTTTCTGAACTAGGGAGGTAATTCAGTGAGGGCTGAGGCACAATAACCTTTATAAGGAAAAAAAAAGAAGAGGCATGACGTGCTTGAAAGTTTCCCTTGGAGCAACAGTGGTGCGCAGACTTTTCCAGCACGGAGAGCATGCCAGGCAACTCGCCAGGCACCCTGAGGGCTGAAACGAGTTTGCATCTAAATTTGCATAGCTCTTAATCAGATAAATGCCTGCCATTTAAAAAAAAAAAACCAAAAACGACAGCATGCTCTACATGTATGCAGCGCTTCACAAAACACCAGGGAGCCACTGCAGGAGAGGATGAGAAATGGATGGCTGGCAGAGTTTCCTGAAATCCCGTGTGTGGAAGTCGGGTAAAGACCACGGAGGGACTGGACTCTTTTCCCTCTGCTTGGAAGGAGATAGTAAAACCTGAGCATCGCAGAAAAGCAACGTCAAGACTCGCAGCAGCAGTGAAGATACTCGTCAGCATAGCAGGTATCTCTGCAGAGAACAGCAGTACCAACAGGGGGGCTGAGCCTGCCCCTGACAGCAAAGATTTGCTCCAGCCAAAAACTCCTATGAATATTTCTGCAGCTGAGCCCAAGAGACCCACGGCTGGAGGAACTGCCCAAGCTGTGACAGTCACCATAAACCAGCTCACCCTAGCTTTCTGTTTCCCTGATTTAAAATTAAACTTGAGCTCCAGGGTGGTGGAGTTGTGGGTTGTTTTATTTTTTCCCCCTGTGGTCACTTTGGGAGTTTTTAAACCACTGTTCAAACAGTTCCTTAAAGTTTCTTAATCTTCACTGGAAGGCCAACTGGCTACACCAAACCTTCCTAAAGATCAGCTGGGAAGTTAGTGAAGGAGAAGTGAGCCAAGTCAACGCATTGGCTTTGTTTTGACGTCTCCTGTAAGCAAGGTCACAAGCTGCAGGCTGAAGCTTGCTCTGCAATTAGCGAGTCAAAACCTTGGTGTGAGGCTTTCACTTGTGAGAGGCATTAAAAATCGCCTGCTTATCCATTAAAAACACCCCGGCGTGGTCTGTAAAATGTAACCCATCTCATGACGATCTCTTTTTGATCCAAGTTTGTAGCTAACTTTACTTAAAGAGGTACTTTCAGTTTTCCTAGAGAAGTTTTACGCTGGTAAGTGCTGCAGGCTACGGTTTTCACGAGCGCTTTCGCGTTTGCGGTAATTGGGGCCGACAGCTACCCTAGCCAGAAGCACTGCTGGCTTTTGGGGGGAGCGTGTGTATTTGTGTAGGATGCAAAATATTTTATTTTTTTTTTTTAAGGCTTTTTAATCACTTGCACTGACAATAAAAAGTGCCTCCTGCAGACAAAAGATGCAGTTAGAGGACCATATTATCCACTGGCAGAATCATAGAATCACGGAATCATTTAGGTTGGAAAAGACCTTTAAGATCGTCAAGCCCAACCGTTCCCCTAACCCTGCCATTAACAACAAGCTCTTAACACAGTTCCTGATTTTCCCCTGCCTCCAGCTGCACTTCAGCTGTGCTAATACAACTGCACTGTAAATAGGATCACTGAAATCATTCAGGGCAGTAATAAAAACCTCTTTTGTTTTGGTTGTGGGTTGGTTTTGGGGTTGGTTTTGGTTTGGTTTGTTAAATATAGGTCACTTCACAAACAATTAACAAGATTTCTAGGACTAGAGGCAGCCTAAAACCCGCTGTCTTTATTTTATGCATAAATCCAGGTGGGTATTCTGGACGAGAGGGGTAATTCCAATGGAGCTTCACCACCACAGGCATTTCTGCAGATCCTTGTAAGTATTTTCAGCGACCAGCAGCCAAATCTGCTTCAGCTTTAGCAGGCAATAATAGAATCTTACAGATGACCTGAAAACAAGACTTTCTGGGCGGGGGAGGAAGGCAAAGCAGAAGGAATAGAGGAAGGCGACTGAATTCCTCGGAGCTCCAGCCAGCCATCTGTGATTTCAAATGATCAAAACGCAGTTTGCACTGCTAGAAGAAATTGCCTGACTGCAAGTTGTTTGCAGGTGTGGGGGGGGGGGGGGGGGAGGTGGAGCGTGTGGGATGGATGTTAATTTTAGTATCTGGGGCTTTCTCTTAGCTTAACTCTTTCCTCACCCCATGTCAGTAAAGCAGTCTGGAAATTTATGCCAGACAGAGGTAAACTCCTACAGCGTTGCTTACATCTGAGAAGAAAAAAGCAGCAGGCATAAACTACTTTTACAATTTTACATTATTTCTGTGCCCGTAACAG